GTACTACAAGTAAAACCTGTTTGCTCACAGCTGTGATTCTGAAGAACCATGTTAAATTGACTTAGAATGTAATAATTTATTTGTGAACTTTTGTAACTCCCCTTCCCCAGGAAATAAATGGGGATGTGCAAATGGTAATGCTCTTATTTGCTTCATATTTAAAAAGAAAATCAAGAAAACAAAGCCAGGTTTTTAGCTGACATTGAAAAGTGAGGGAGACCAGAATGCAGTCCTTCAAAGACATTCAGTTCTGACCTTAGTAATTAAAATCACCAACCAGGTAGACTGTTATGCTTTCATAACATTAATCCTGGCTAAATCTGTTTGATAAAATATTTGTTTAAATGCATGCATATTAGAAATAATAATTTATATGCCAGCATTTTATTATGAGAGTCTCTTGGAATTCAGATTATTTACATTATGCTGAGATGCGTAAAACCCATCTGTAACAAATAGACTGAGATGAACATTTGTATAAAAACAATTGCAAGTTGTTTTACATTTCTTTTCAGTATCAAGCAGTGTGTTGAAAATGCATTTTTTATAAAACCACATGCAAGGCTTTTTGATGGTGAAAAAATGGCCTCACAATAGCCACATGTTTAGGCAAATCCTTAGAAGCTAGTAGGGACCCCACACAGACATTCCAGAAGAAAAGACATTACTATAAAGTAGTTTTTCTCAAAGTGAAGTAGAATATGGGTGAGCCTACTAGGCCACTTTGATAAATAAATAAAAGTTTTCTTTATATTCTAGCACAGAACTGGTTCAACAGGAGGGCAAGTTAAATCCAGATTTGCATTTTACTTAGTTGTTTTCTGTCCCTTTTTTTTTTTTTTTAATGATTCCTTTTTGGTTTGTTGTTGTCGTTGGTGGTGGTGGTGGTGATTTTTCTTAAGACAAATAACCATTTGGCTTTGGGTTATCTGATTTTTACCTTCCTGGCTTTTCAGCATATCTCTGTGAAACTGCTTTCCAAGACAAAACCCAGTGTCCCAGGATTATTGATGTACCTCTTTAACTATGGGTCTCTTTTAAAATTTGTGTCATTAAACCAGTACAAGAGTTCTTCTGAACAATCTGAAATTAGTGCAACCCTGACTTGTTTAGAGCAAATGGTATGGTCAGATGTAAATTTTATTTAAAGAACTTGTTGAGCCTGCAGCTATATTTAACTGCACTCAAACTGTATTTTACTATCTCCGTCATCTATCTCAAATGCTTTGGTTGATTCTTTGAAAGACACTGTCTTCTGCCTTTAGAGCTTAGACTAAATTTAGTCTTCTATATCAAGCCTAAATCAGGCCTAAACTAATTCGCAGGTTTTTGTAATCCTGCTCTGGTCTTGCCATGCCTTGGGGTCATAAACCTCCCTGCCTCCCTTTTGGCACTTCTGGTACTCAGACCCCAAGTACAGCTAAGTTGGCTTTGACTGCTTTGTAGTCACAACTTCTAATGTCAAAACTAGACAATGACTAAACCAGGATTTATATAATGGTAACTACCTAGTTATTGGTTGATTTTTAGGTAAACTGATGCAACCTGTGTGGACAACTTTCACTTGGTATATTGATTATATTCTGAAGGAAGCTTGCCTCTGTATTTGCTGTTTATTCTATTTTGGCTGCATGGAATTAACTAAACCTTAGTTACTTGGGTTTCTTTTCAGCTTTAAGAAGAAATTCCTTATAAAATAACATTTTAAAAGCACTAGTTTCACTGAAATAGCTGAATCTACAGTTTCGTATAACATTTGGATACGTTCCTTCACACCTAGGCTTTTCAGGCCAAGAACTAAAGAAAGACAAGGGAGGAAAAATAGAAGTTAGGTACATTCTCAGGAATTTATTCAGTTTTTCTGAGCAAGAAGAAAACGCATGGGAGTCCAGTAGTTTACTACATTCTAAGGTAGATTTTCAGTTTAATCTTAAACTATCTCCAATGTGTCTTTCATATGAAATAACCTGGCCTATCTTGTGTCTCTATTAACGTTGTAGAACCAATTAGTACATTCAAAGATTTTCTCTCCTCCTCGGAGCTAATGGATGTGTCCCCCTTTCCATAGCAATACCAAGTGAGCATTCTGTTATTTAAGTTCATTCTCATGTGGGAACCACGGTTATTCACTAGCTTGTTAAATGTTACAAGTGATGCAAGAAGTCATTTTGTTGCCTGACTATCAATCATCATGCTGTCATATCCACACTTTGGAAGGAGTCGAATTAAAAAGGATACTTCTTACTTTAAGTTACCCTTCCCTACCTCATCCCCTTTCACAAAAAGGTTAAATGTCGTTTCAAATTAAGGCAGCAATAATTAACCAGTGGCATTGTTTGTGATTTGGCAACTCTGGGCGTTAATGAGAGAGAAATTAGCACTTAGCAGCAGGAGTTCCTGATAGTCAGTGGCAAATGCTTAATGTGCCAACAAGTTAATTTTGGTCTTAAGTAGCGCACTTAAGTGCTTTTAAACAAAAGTATGGTGTGGGTTTTTATGTGATCGTACAGGAGTTGTGTGCTATAGAGCTATAATAGAAGGAATGACACAATAGAGTTGGAAAAAGTGCAACCTAGGCAGCACAGGGCAAACAGTTTTGCTATAACACCACAGTCAAAAGCAGGATTGATGGATGTTTTCATGCTAAAGATGTACTTGCTCCAGCCATTAACAATCTACAGATGTTCTTGTATATAAATTTTATTACCAAATTTGGCATTTCTGAACATAATTTTTTAAGTGCCTCAAAAATTGTGCTTAAGCTGAGGTGATTTGCTAGAAAGACATAAATTAGCCTTTTGAGTTGTCTCAAAGTAGTAATTTTATTTAAAATTAAAGTTTCAAAAAATAACTTAAGAAATTACTTAAGTAGAGTGCCACATGCATTTTACGATGAATGAGGGATTCAGACTGCCACACAGCAAAAGGACCCCTTCAAAACTTGGGGGAGCAGCAGCATAAGGATTTTACCTGGCACACATGCTCCTAATCAGTAACTACTTACGTACATTTCATAGCTTCTGCCTTGCACAAAGTAGCCCATTAGAAATTTAAGGTCTGTTCCCTATGTTCCGGAGATTTTTGCTTTTAAAATAACTTTGGTTAGTACATAAGTACGTCCCCACCCAGTTATCCCATTTCTCTGTTTGCTTGATGTGGGAACAGATACACAGTCTGTGAAATAACAAAAGTAAGGGTCCATCCAGCATCAGCAAACTGCTGTCTCTCACCAGAGGCTGGGAGCATCAGTCTTTGGCCTCATCTGCCATTGGCCCCTTGCTCCTGCTAGGCTGTCTGGCCTCCCCAGTACATTGAGGTTCTGCATGTCTTGCCCCCATGTGAACTTGAACAAAGGACAATATCCTTAGAGACAGTAGAGGCTGAAGTTGTTGGCCAGCCAGAGAAAAGTTAGGAATTGTGTGCAGGCAGCATTGTCCTTCCACATTAGCCACTTTTTAGTCTGAGCTGTATTTATTGCCAAACATGTTAGGATGTGTTATCTAGTGTAGCCAGATTTGTCAGAGTTTTAACCTTTCAGCTTTCAAATATCATCTTTCAGTTGCAAATAGCACATTTGCCATTGTGGCCTCAGCTGCACTTAGGGGTTATTTACTCTGCCACTGAACTGTGGCCACTTAGAGATTGAAGAGTAGTAGCCATAGACAATGTTACAACGCTCTGGAGCAGTTTCGGGCAAAAGACTACCATATCTAATTGAAACTGCAGGAGGAAACCACCGAGGTTTCTTTTTCTTTTGATGCCTATTCCATTAGATAAGCACATCAAATAGAGTTTCCCCCCACTGCTGGAAAGAAACCACCTTCATGAAGCCAGTCTGGTACTACCCATGGCTTTGAGTGCTTGTATTTTCTGCTCAGGGGAAATTTAGGTTACCATGGCTCCTCTCATCACATTTTTATTATAATTAAACATTAACAAAAATTGTCTACCATATTGGTTGAGTCCTGAGCATAGCTTTGCATATAAACCATTACATGACATTCTATTGAACTTTTTCTTGTACAGTCGGTATCTAACAGCTCATCCTGCACTGTTGGTTTTGGCAAGTTCACTACAGCATATAATAAATCAAGGAAGAAAAAGCTTTTTGGCCTAATGTTGTACAGACTGCTGTAATGTTAGACTACAGAAAGCAGTTCTGTTTTTAGACATCCTTTTACTAACCCAACATTCATAATTTATGATTCCACTGTAAAATTCCTGCAACACTACACCAGAAGTAGTGCTGCCCTTTAATTAAGTGCTCTCAGTAGGAAAAACGTGAAACTGATGTGCAAAACATATCACAGTACACAGTGATTGATAGTGATTACTTCTTTATGAACCCAGCCTGAAGGTCTGAACTTCCTGATGGGTAAAATAGTCCATGGGGCTACTTCCTGAGTTTGCCTAGTGGGGATCAGTCAGAGTTAGCAATATCTGAGGAATTCTTGAGGCACGTTTCAGAGACATTACAGCACAAACTTTCTGTTTCTTCTGAATTGTGCTTTATGTTAGTAATTGCCTGAATAATAGCTCATTGTAGAGATTATATTTTAAGGATTCATTGTTATCTTCATGGTATTATCATTTGCATGAACTGAGACATGCTAAAACTCTTGTGTTTTTAATGTCTACACCCCCAAATCTAAAAAAGCCGAGTGCATGGGAAGAAACATTTCCATATATATATCAAAGTTATTGAATATTATTTAATACATAACTATTTTTTTACTGATATGTGCAGAGTGTTCAAAGGAGAAAAAAGACTAATGTGGATTGTTTGAGTCTCTAAATAGCATTTTTATTCATGGAATCAGGTATTATTGACATCTATCAATTGAACATCAGCGGAAATTTGAAAATTAAATGGAGGTCAAATACTCTCTCCAATTTTGCAGTGAAATTAACAGATTTACTTGTATTGGAATCACAGAGGTGGGAAATTAAAGTTCCCCTAACACAATCACATAAGTTCATTTTTCTTTTTTGCTTGATAGATTTGGCCCTGGATTAGTCATCTACTGGTATGGATTTATTGAAGAGCTGGACTGCCATCGTGAGCGTGGTATCCTGCTAAAAGACTGCTTTCCTACTGACATTGTGACTCTGCGACACAGCATGGCTCAACACTGATGTTGGAAGGAAGAGGTAAATCCAGAAGCAATTTTACTTTCCTGCAGTGTAAACTAATGGCAGCATCTGCCCTGAACTTCAGCTGAACTCCTGCTGCCCGCCCTTATGCTACTGCCGCTTTATGCAAACTTATCAAGAGTTTCTGTTTTGCTTCAGACCTCTGTTGCGATCAGCCAAAAAAGACACACAACCCACTCACTATCAGCAGTTCTGCCTCTGTCAAACAGCTAGTTTCTAAATACTCTAATCTTTCTTCCTTCCGTGTGGTTTCTTCTAGCATTCGAAACAAAGACAAAAATGCATAGTCTGAAAGGTGGAGCTTTTGGTTCCTATCCCCGTTACAGAGTCATCTTCAAAATTAAGTGCTTTTTATGGTTTCACTCACAAGTTTATTCAGTGCTAGTGATGTGACTCAGACACCTATGGTGACGGGGAAATCTGGTAAAGACTGTTGTTTTGGGGCTTAAAACAATATAATGCAGAGCTCGTAAAGTCCAAGTGGTAAGACAGGATCATGGCTGTTACAGTAAATAGCCAGATTTTGAGAGAATAATTGGTATATGTGTTTCATCACTATCTCATTGTTAAAATGAACAATGGAATACCAAGTGAACAATTAGAAAATAATCTAAGTTAGGGGATTTTTATGGGGGGTGAAAGTGAAGAGCACAGATTTTATTTTATGTATATAAGCCTGCAAAGTTTGGGGTTAGTTTTTTGGGGGTTTTAACAAGTATTTTAATATTTTAATGATTAAGAAATAACTTGTGTTTTGTCTTTTCCTCTCCCCCACCCCTAGGGAATCTCTACCTAGGAATTTTTCTGTTAACTGACTTTAAGGAAGAAATCTTTCTTGACCCCTGCAGGTATTGTAGCATGCAATTTTCTGGCATTCTGAAGTCTGAAAGAACAACATGCAGGAGTTCTCCATGTGGGTTATTTCTGAAAAAGTTTACCATCCTGGTGTTCAAGAAGAAGAATTTAAAAAAAAAACCAACATGAAACAATGCTTCATGCTGGATCAGTTCCACAAGACAAATAAAATACACAAATGGACAGAAGTTTCCTCTGTACTTGTTTTCTTGTAAGAGTCTTGCTTTTTTTCTTGTTGTAACCACCAAGATCAGAAGTACATTGAGGTGGGTGTTAGCCCTTCTTGAAGTTTTGAGTTCAGTCTCTTCTGTTTCCTCCACATCACCACTCAGGTTTGTGCTCTCAGTTAGATGCTTTTTAGTGACAGCAGCTTATTGGGCTTGACAGACTTCAATACTCTTGTCTTTGCTGACTGGTATTCAGGAACAGACAATGTATTTTGAAAAGTCAGTGAGAGTTTTGCCTGTATGCTCATCATGTTCAGATTTTCAGAGAAGCAGAGGTATGGATTCTGTTGTAGAATTAAAGGTGAGAGAACAGTCTCCCTAAAGCACAAACTGATAACCTTTCCCAGAAGGAAAGGGTCTTTAAAACGTTACAATGCATATACATCACCATTTTTTAGTTGAAGTGATACTTTGTGTGCCTGTATGATTTCAGAAATCATGTGCAGACTTTTTACAGTCTTGACTTGAGTTAAAAAAACATTAATCTTGTTCAGAAATTTGTCAGCTATGATTTTCAGGTACATACACAGTGTTTTGATTTTTAATTTTTAATTCTCACCTTAACACTTCCTGATAAGTTTCAGACAGGAATTTATCATTTTGACTAATCTTTCATTTTCAGGAAAAAACTCTTTGGTCTTCCTGTTCTCTGTCCCTTGCTGCAGAGATAAGCTAGTATACCTCCATTACAGTGAGTTATTGTTATATAGAGATATTTTCCTGGGTTTGAATGTGTTACAGTGAAAAGATTTATTTTAAAAAAAATATTCAAACACCTGTAATTCATTTATGTTCAAATGTTTAAGGTATTGTGCTGATCTTATTTTACCTGACCAGCTTTAAGGATCTTCCCATAAAGATACACAGAAGCTGCATTTAGGGTGTTACTGCCCCTGGGACTTCTAACTGTGGGTTTGGTTGGTGGAATATGTAGAATTAGGAAGAGAATAAAAAAGAAGAAATAACAGAACATTATCATACTAGAAAATTCAGAAGTAATGGTTGTCTGAGTGAAATGGGTTTTAAAGGCAAACTGAATTTGTTTTAGCTACTGCATATGCTTTCTGTTGTATGAAATAATTTAAATCAGCTTTTACATGATGCACTAATGCTGCGTTTTCTTTTTGAATAAATTAAATTTATCTGCACAGATGTTGAAAATTCTACTCAACCTCCATCAAAGCTTTGCTTTATTTGTTCTTATGTTAAACAAATTTATGTGGAGACACACAGATAAATCAGGTTAGGCTTATATTTGTTTATTTATTCCTCTACTTAATGCTGTGACATAACAGGTTGGAAAGCAGTACAGCTGTCTTTAATCAAAACTTTAACCTTACCTTCATATATTGCCCACTTTAGGAATCTTTTTATTAGAATGAGGATGAAATAAGCCACAAAAGTGTACGTATTGTACAAATTCCATTACATGCTATCAAAAAAGCTTTGCCACCACAAAAACTATCCTGTGTCATTATTTAAATGATGAAGACAAAAACATTAAAAAAAATTAGGACTATTTTGTTATTCCTACATGTGTACTGTATAATCCTTTGGATATTTTCTCTGTTTCTCAGGTGTAAACATCAACTTTAATATTAAAGAGGAGAGACTGTTCTTTGTGAATTTTTGTTGGGTTTGTTTTCTTAAACAATGCTGTAGTCATTAGAACCTTAACATTAAAGCCAAATTCAGTTTTATGGGGTATTTTGTAGAGTGTGCTAATGAATTATGCCAAGCCAGAAAACAGAAGTGTGCATAAAATTGAATGATATTCTCACTGGCATACACAGACTTGCCAAGCATCTGCTCTTACAGGCACTGTATTAAGCTCTGTTCTGAGCTTTAGGAATTGATGAAATTGTGTCAAACAGGGAAGTAAAACTTCCTTATACAGGAGTAACAGCACAAGAGTGGGTCACACACTCTAGTATAAGAAGAAAGTGGTTTGGGGTTTTTACCATTTCTATATTCTGGAGACATATTATTACTATCAGTTTAATGATCTTTCCCTAAAGACAGCTCAGAGCAGAATAAAACTTATGATCTAAAGCTGAAGAAAAGGGACCAAATGTCTTACTTCATTACATTAATAGTACTGGTAGTTCATGAATAATGTTCTTCCTGTTTTGTTATATTGGCTCTTTCAAAAAAGTCATACTTTTCTGGTATTTGCTTTTGGATTTCTCCACCATCTAGACTACTACAGAAGACTGTTCATGCCTCTTTCAATTTGCCTTTAAATCCTCCCCTTTTAATTTTCCATCTTAGTTCAACCATTTCCCATTTATTTATTCAGTATCCTATTTGCTCACGTGTCCCATTTGAAAATTCTGTCCTGTGTTTTCCACCGCCTGCTATTACTACATCTGAAGAGTGCTGTTTCCAATTCTGTATGCCTTTGGACTGACCAACCGTCTCAAGCAATTTTGCTCTTACTCTCATTTAAATAGCAACCTTAAATGGCAAGGAGACTGCCCTCACATTACCACATGGCTTTGTATTGTGGAAGTATTATGATGCTCTTCTTCATTCTCTTGGTTTGAAACATAGGTTATTTCTGCAGGCTAGTGCAGAATAATCACTCACCCTCTACTGAGAGTACGGTTGCACGAAGGACTAAGTTAGGAGTGCATCTGTGCTACTGGAAAGTAGGCATGTGCAATATTAGGAATTTAGCTATCACAGCGGTCCCTTTTATTAAGGACACTTCCTTTCTGCAAGTTCATGCCTTGTATGTGCAGTACTTCAAGGAGATTTGTTGAAGTCAAAGGTTTAGCTTTCCTCCTGTGCCAAAATCTACTTGGCTCAGAACGGAAAAGGTGTCTATCTCCCCATTTTCACATCACAGTTGATCTGGTAAAAGTTTGTACATCATAAAGGTGGTTGTTATTTAACAGTTGATAACAACTCTTCAAAGGTCAACAAAACATACACAGAATTGAACTCGATTCTTGCTGGTGCTTCATCTGATGTAGTCTTACTATTTAGAAAGCTTCTTCTGAAGGGATCTTCTGCAGTTAGTTAGTTGTATCTTTGTAAACAGAAGAATTATCAAATTTCACTTGAAATCTTTCTGGTTTTCTTAAGCAAACAAACAAACAAAATATTTTGATTTAGGTCAGCTTAAAAACCTAGCCTGAAAAATGTACCAGGTAATGTATTTAAAAGGAGCTTTTTTAATACTGAGCAAAGGGAACAGTTGTTAGAAACATGCATTTCTTATTTTGAGGATGAGATTAATTACATTAAGACGAATGCTGCTTAAGTATTGATATGATATTATGGAATAAAATAGGAGGCTGCCTGCAAAAACAACAAAAAAAATTCCTCCTATCCTATTATGCTAAGTCACAAAGGGCCATTTGTTTTGGATTTGCAGGTTATTCAGAAATAACCTTTTTATTACGTTGACAAAAGAAGAAACCTCAAGGGCTCGCTCTTTACAGTGGTGTGATAGGAACCTAAAGTGTGCCTGTCGAAAAATGAACTAGCTAACAATGGGAACTTGGCAGCAACTTCACCATTTATAGAGAAACCGTCTATCTAGTACAATCTGTATAAAATAGACCTCGCTTAGGTTAGGGAAAGGTCACAAGTTAGACAAAGTTTGGATAGTCTAAATGTGTTACTCAAAACTGACTCTCTTGTGTATAGTAAATATTAACTGAACCTGTATTATTAAAAACATGCCAGGATTCAAAAGATTAAATAAGGAAGATGTAATTATGAGCTAAATAATAAACAGAGCAGTTTTAGTTCCCCTTGTATTTTTCACTTTCCTGCTATTGTTTCATATATGGCTGTTATACAAAGAGCAGCTTAGGTCAGCTACTATAAATTATGGGTTTCATACAATAGTAATCTACCAAAATTATTTCAGAGCTGGATCAAAGAGCTTCAAAAGACTTTTCAAAAACTTCTCTAGATAATAAAAGGACTATATTTTGATGCCCTATTTTTACAAAGATTTCTTGATTTCATGTTGCGTCTTACAGTATTCAGCTATTTGTGTTGCTATTATGAGATTGGAACACACAAAATTTGTATAACTTTTTTGCATCCTCATATAATCATTAAATGATAATATCAAAAAAGCTCCTTTTAAATACGTTACCTGGTACATTTTTCAGGCTAGGTTTTTAAGCTGACCTAAATCAAAATTGTTTGTTTGTTTGTTTGTTTGTTTAAGAAAACCAGCAAGATTTCAAGTGAAATTTGATAATTCTTCTGTTTACAAAGATACAAATCATATTTGCAATGATAACAAACATTCACAATGATAACAGCAATTCTGCTTAGTAGCTCTCATATGGCATCATGTCCCTGTGTAAGATGTTGGCCTGCCCTCGCTGCTGGCCAGGCTTTCACTCAATCTGAACAATTGCATGTCATCTACACAGATCCATAGATGTGGCACTGCAGTGTCAACACAAAATGAAATGTCAATGCAAGTGTATGGAGACAAAGTAACAGTATTGAAACCATGTCAGTGCATATCTACAGAGACCACGTTACTCTGTCAGGGTGATTTTAGGAAGATCACTTTGAAATGTTAAAATGAAATGAAACTAAGTCAATTAGGTAATAACAATTGAGGTTCAGGGATTAATTGAGGGCCTAAGGTGAAGCCAGTGGACATTAACCCCAGCTAGTTATTAATTTTAGAGAAAGAGAGAAATATCCTTGGCTGAGGTTATTGTCATTATTAGGGAGTTGGGAGGTTTTTTCCTCCTATATTGTGAAAATACTTTTTGCTGTTGCTTTTAATAGTGATACACCAAGTGTGATATTAGGGTGGTAAAAGGCATATTAGTGCAAAGTTAAGTTTTCTTAGAAATTGAATCCACCTGATACCAGACAAGTACTTTTTTTTTTAATAGACATTTAACAGATATATCTTGATGTCCAACTAAGTGTCTGTAAACAGATAGAATTACTGTAATTTATTTACCTCTGAG